TTTTTTTTTTAATATGACATTTTCTTAATACCTTCAGAATTTATATTCTGTTATTTACTGTTTTATACATCTTTATCAAATTTAATTTTAATTTATGGTTAAGCTGTCTTAGACCTATTTATATGATTTGGGTAACTTTTCTCTATTTTTTGAGGTATATTTGAAGTATATCATTTAGGGATCCTGATTGTTGATGAAGTCGAAGTCATTGATTGCTTCTTCTTCATAAATTTATGAGTTTGTTCATGAATTGAAGATTCTTCAATAATTTTGTGGCAAAATAGCTTTTCGATTCCTAATTGAATATTAGCACGGATTGCTCTATTATTGACTGTTCTTTAGCTTATTAACACATTATTGTAAAGTTTGAACAGCAAATTGAGGAAGTTAGAATGTTTGTACATTTAAAGAAAGAATAGAATCATTTTTCTATATTTGTACATAGTCTTTAAAGGACTTTGGAAGTTGCTGAACTGTGTGATTTATGGAAATGGTTATAAATCAAGGAATGAGATACTACTATCTGCGTAAGTAATCATACATGTGTAATTTCTGTAGATGAATTTTCATACATGTGTAATTTCTGTAGATGAATTTTCTGTAGAAGGGTGTTTGAGGGTAGAGGGAGAGCCGACGGCCATGGCAGAGTCGAGCGATTCGGTTTCTGTCAATGTGGAAACAATCTACCTTGGAGGAAAGGTCATATTTCTATCTATCTATTGGTTCACATTTTGTTTAATTCATAAATTTTCGTTCATTTATCTGATTTGCATATAATTAGTTATGTGGTGTATATATTTTTATTTAAATTTAAATTTTGAAGTGTTTTCCATCTAATTGATTGTATGTTTATCATTAGAATTGTTTGTAGTTAATATAAATTTTTAGAGTGCATACATATCATTAGAATTCTTTGTACTTAATTAAATTTTTACATCTCACCGTGTATACAAATCATTAGAATTGTTTGTACTTAATATAATTTTTTACATCTCACCTTCCGTGCATCGCACGGGTGAAAGACTAGTTCTTCATCAAATCACTATTCTAAAATGTATTTTTTTGCAAAAAATGGATATCAAACAGGGCTCTTAATATTTTATTGCTACCAACGGTCGATGGTTAACGATCGCCCATGCTACCTCAAAATCCTTTACATGAAAGATTATATAATGCCACATGATACTCTGCTATTTGCTAGTTTAAAATACATTCAATTTTTTCATCCAATATTTTCCTTTCACAGCATTTTATGTAATCCTTTATGTACCATTTTTATGTACGAGTAAAATAATCTTCATGGTATTTAGCTCATATTTGAGTTTCTTTATCTAAAAACTCATTTTTATTCGATTTTATTTTCAATCACATTTTTCCTCTACAATAAATTTACACGTGAATTTAATTTTTTTTATTCTTTTATCCACATATTTTTTTTAAAAAATCACTAGCATAAAATCTATTTCCAAAAAATGGTGCTCGAAATTTTGCTCTTTAAATTTTTCAAGTTTTGGGCCAATATGTCTGTGGCAGTGAATTATTGCAATAATATTTTGAATTACAGCCTTATCTATCACCTTCCAAATGGATAGCCATATATAGGCTATCATCACAAAAAATTCTTCTCTCTACAGTACTCGACGATGGCAGCCTCTGGTGCGTCCTCCACTATCAAAATCCTCTCAATTTATTCCCAAGAACTCGACCACCCCACCACCACCACCCCTTCTTCTCTCCTCTTCAGGTCATGCACCGCAAGAAAACCACTTTTCTTTACTTCCGCTAAAACTTTCTCGATTTACCCTCTTGTGCTACAGTGTAGCAGTGTGTCTGATAATGGGCGCTTCTCGAAATCACTTGTGGCGGCGGCTTTGGCTACTGAAGCTGAGGTGGAGGAGGAGGCCGTGGAACAGCAGGAAACTGATGGTGGGGGTGTTGCTGTTGTTACAAAGCCCAAGAAAGGCAAGGCTGCCTTGCCTTTGAAGAGGGACAGAGTATGTTATATAAAAAACATTTTTTTTGTTTAATTGTGTGTTTTTGGGAGATTTATATGTGGGTTTTGCTTAATTTTTCTAGTTCATGTTTCTGCTTCTGAAAATTTCATTGTTAAGGCTCATAATTTGTGGCCTAGTGATTTATATGAATAAGTTCTGCTTATTCTTTTTTCCTTTTGTGGCTTTTTCCTGAAGTTCAATGTTAATTACGCTCGATATATTTATCTAATGACCCTATGGTCATGGATACGAGGGGTTTCTCTTGATGTTGTAGTTTCTTGCTCTTGTATCCTAAATTTTACTGTCAAGAGAAAGATTTCTATTATTTTGGTTTGATTGAGCGGTTATATGATTGGGGATTTGTCAATTTTGTGTATAATTGCTTTTTGTTTATCAAATATCCTTGGAAACAGTATCACATATCTTGAGTTTTGATATCATTCTCCTGCCTCCCAAAAGGAAAAAAAAAGGTTAAACCAACTCAGACACAGACACAGACACACATATTTGCTTGATTTCTTTTTAGTTTCTTGGATCTGAATGGTTGAAAAGCTTTAAATTAGGCTGATGCATTCGACGACAGAATAAGCTAACGATATTATGCCGAGGGATTTTTGCTTAGATTTCTCTTTAGCAGCCTAATGTCGTATGCATGCATCTTTTATGGATATAGTTAGTTGCTTAATTTAAGGTGTTGATTTTACGCTTACATTTGAAAGGTAGAGTATGCTCATGTAGATACTTCTCTGCCTGCTATATAGTACCCAAAGTTTTAAGAGGGTTTTCTAATTAGAAAATTTTCTGTTAATCTTTCTTTTGCTTGTGATCTTGAAATTAAACTTTTGAGAAATTCTTTCTCTTGCCTCTGGGAAGAGCATAACAAAATAGTCTTGTTTTAATTGAGACTTCTCAAACTCCATGGTTTAGAGGTCAATTTGTTTACTGGATTCACATTGGTCTACAGGTCTATCATAATTGGTGAATAGGGGGAAAATGACTCCCAAATTGACACACACACCTAGTCATTGCACCCTGTGTTTGAGTGTAGGCAGCTATGCTTTGCATTTCTTTTTTCTTCTTTGATCCTGTAATAACACTTTTTGGTGCTTTCTCGGAAAGGAACTGTGGTTTTTGCGGAGTAGGCAAGAGACTCTTGAATTATTTTGCTTCAGGAAGTGTCAAATCTACTTCACTGAGCCTGGTTTATTTGTGGGTTTAGGATCTTAAATTGTTGTATTCCTTTAAGCTATCAAATACTTTGTCCTTTATTCTCAACTCTCCCTTTCTTTTGACTTCTTACACGAGTAAATAATTTACCTTTTGCTGGAATTATTAGACAAGATCCAAGAGATTTTTGGAAATTCAAAAATTGAGAGAAAACAAAATGGATTATGACTTGAAAACGGCAATATCATTGCTCAAGCAATCGGCGAGCACAAAGTTTGTTGAAACGGCTGAAGCCCATTTCCGCCTGAATATTGATCCAAAATATAATGACCAACAACTGAGGGCAACTGTAAGTTTCCTGACGTTATTTGCTATATGAAATGTGTTTCAAACTATTATTGGCTGTTCCGTGGTGGGATAAAATTTTCTTTGTTGTAGGTTAATTTGCCCAAAGGGACTGGTCAGACTGTTAAAGTTGCTGTTCTTACACAGGGTAATTCATTTTCTTGAAGTTACTTCTATATTTTTGTCCAGATTTGATGGTGCATGAGCCTTTTTGTAGATGATGTGCAGAACATTTATATTTGTGTATCAGTTCAAAAATGACATTCCTCTGCAGTTGAGAGTGTGTCATACTTATTTAAAGCGCTAGGAATAGAAGATAACTAAAGACACTACTGTCATCCAATTCAACCGGCCAAATGAATGAAACTTCAATTGACGGAATGAACTTGTACTGGCCCGGAGCACTCTCCCAAAAGCCATTCAAGACTTGGTTGCATTCGTTCATCCATCAAGAATTCATCAACCATTGTCTCTTGTCTTGAAAAAAGTACTTGTATTATAGAGACGATGTTAAATACTTTCTATCCAAACATCAGCTGCAAGTCTTCTCTAACTACTCGTGATAAATTTTATCCCCATATAAATGGTTTTAATATATCTTCAGTGTCCATGCTAAGGAGTCTACTTGAAACTGGAATGATGAGAAAATGTTTTGATGGGTTAACTTCACGTGTCAAGAATTGTTCATGTAATATACAAGTGAAGTCAAGTCAATACCAAATTATCCGTTGCTTGACTAGAAACTACGGAATTGTCCTCTTGAAAGGTGATTTGGCTGGGTGAAAGAGAAAATGTTTTACTTACTAGGCCTACATAGTGTGATGATAAATAATACAGATAAATATTTCGTTACTAAACAGGCATAAATTATTGGGAGAGAAAATTATACACAAGATTAATAGTTCGGATGAAAATGAACTCTTCTGTATGGATGTCTGTAAAACCAGGAGTAGAAAGAGGGGGTTGAAGTCTGTTTATTGATGGAAAAGTATTATGCCCTTGTTTGGTGGGCATTTTTTTGGAAAAACATTGTTTTGAATAGTGAATTTTTGGAGAATGTGTGGTTAAAAAGGGAAAAGTTTTGAGTTTACCTGTAGAATATTTTGTTGTGTAAATGTGTAGTTGAAAAAAGAGTATGTAAAAAAAAGAGTTTTGAAAGAATGGGAGACAAACAGGGGCTATATATCTTTTTCTTCGTGAACTTGTGTCAAATATACGGCTGCAGAATACATTATAAGATCAGAGATTTTATGCCACGTAGCTTAGCATTAAAAGTTTCTGATCTCCTATTTATTCTCTTCAAATTTTGTCAAACACCATGATACCAGCTAGTTAGTCTCATTGTTGTACAGTTGAATTTCTGTAGGTGAAAAGTTCGATGAGGCGAAAAATGCAGGAGCAGATCTTGTTGGTGGGGAAGACTTGATAGCACAGATAAAAGGAGGATTTATGGATTTTGACAAATTAATTGCGACGCCCGATATGATGCCTAAGGTATCATTCTGCTATTCTCATCATGATTAATTACATGGTTGTTGCCTCACACTGCCAATTTTCTCTGTTTATCAGAATCATCATTACTCTCTTCCAGTTGCAAAATAAAAATAAAAATGCTATTTAAGTACATCCTTTGTAAACTACGCTGGTAGTCCCCGACCTTCCCTTCCCCCCCTTTTGAAAAGAAAGAATAGCCACATGAAAAATATCTGTCAACTGGCTCTGGTGACTTTTCCATTTCAAAAACTTTAGGAATTTGGTCATTACTAATATGCTGGTATGTTCAGTGTTATTCATGTGTTTTTGTCTTTGGTTAATTTCACTACTTTGGATGAGCTATTCTATCCACTTCGGTGTTTTGAAACATGGAGGGGTTGTCTGTATGGTCTGAAAAGCTGCTATATGTTTCATATCTTGGAACATTATGTGCTTTATGTGTCGCTTTCTGAAAAATTATCATTTTATCATAGCAGACTTATTTTTCGTCTCTGTTTTCTTTGGTAAATTCTATCAAACTTTTACTCTTCAAAAACTGGAAATAGAGCGCCTTCCAATAACACTTGATGTTAGTGATGGACTAAGAGGCTCTAACCACCCATACATCCACATGTGCACACATCACCTGAGATATTTTCCGCTGAAATCTGCTGTTATTTGTTGGTTCTTCTGTTATCTTGGCTCTTGGCTGTATATGGTCTTCTTTTCTAGTATCCATTGTTGGCCTAATTCACATATTCCTTTTTATTTGCCTCAGGTTGCGAGCCTCGGAAAAATTTTAGGTCCAAGAGGACTAATGCCAAATCCAAAAGCTGGTACTGTAACTACAAACATACCGCAGGTACAGCCTCATTTTCTTTGTTAATTTATGTTTTTCAATTGATAACAAAATTTCAGAAGATACTGCATTTCTTGCTAAAAAGTTACTTCTGTATTGGAAGAGAGTGCAACATCCGTTTATATGTTAAAAGTCATACACATATATTAATCATCCTTGTGCCATTGAGAAAGCATTTTCCTTCTATGTTCTAGGTCTCGAGTAGAAGCGCTTAAATTCTTTATATAGCTGATATAATTTTGAGTGCAGGCTATAGAGGAATTTAAGAAGGGGAAGGTCGAATATAGAGCTGATAAAACGGGGATTGTTCACTTGCCTTTTGGAAAGGTTGATTTTTCAGAGGAAGATCTCGTTATAAACTTTATTGCTGCTGTGGTATGTTGTGTAATTTTATCATTTTTCCTTCAATCTATATCTTTTCTTGTGCTCAAACACGGCCCAAATGCATCAATAACATATTTGCTTCAATTGTGATAATTTCCAGAAATCAGTAGAAGCAAACAAGCCATCCGGAGCTAAAGGTGTGTACTGGAAAAGTGCCCATATATGCTCATCCATGGGTCCATCAATCAGGTTAAACGTAAGGGATATGCTCGACTACAAGCCCTCATCAACTGCTTAGAGTATACAAAAACCCATGTAAAGATTTTTGTCATTTGATTAACTTCTTCAGCTCCCAAGTGCCCTCCTTGTTAGCAGAAGGTATAGAAAAAGGAAGATGTCTGAAAGGAGAGTTTATGCTCCGTTTAACCATCGGTCTCGAATCTTCTGTAGTTTGTGCAATGTTGTGCTTCATATAATCAAATTCTAGCATGCATTTCTCTTGTTTCTGCATGTGAAAATGGAGCTACAAACCATATGGTGCATAGAAACTTGCCAGTTTACTCGTCGTTTATCTAAACGTACAAATAAACCAAACTTGAAAGGACTATTACATATTGCAAAAGTTATATTTTTATCATGCAAGTCGTTGATTTTGAATTGCAATAGCTACTTTCAAGTAAAATTGACCACTGAAAGGACTCAGATAGTTGCAACATGTCGACAAAATTGTTAATTGACTAGTAAATAGATCACTGACAATGTTTTAGCAGACTGTTGAGCAAAAGGGATTATCCAACCAGAAAATACTACACAAAGCTAAACGGAAGAAAAGGTGACTTATGCAGCACATCTTAATTTACAACAATGATATCCACATGCGACCAAAGGACCTTAGCAGTTGTTTCCCGCCAAACGAGCCCCAATAGATCCCCAGTTTTCACCACTGCTCCACACTGCAAATTGGCACAAGAAAACGTCAACTTGTAATAGAGATAACGGGGTTGTATGTACCTGAAACTTGACGGCTAACCTTTTGAGGGCTGCTCAATCCAAGGTCCGTTAATTACAGTAAGAATGCAGCACGCTTGCTGTATTCTAGATTTGGCAGTAATTTTGGTGTAAGCAAGAAGCATCTGCTCAGCATTTGAAAGCTTACAATATTAAGAAACATTTCGGGCTGATTCCAGTTACTTCGGTAACACAGAAAGAGGCCCAGGTCTCTGATACAACCAATTGATAAAGGAAGGTGAATTGGACGACTAAATGTTATATAAGAGAAAAAAAACTACTGCCGCGGAGGAGAATTCTAACATGTAAGAGAGCAGACAACGTTAATGCAGGCAGCTGTTATTTATTAATGATTGTGAGGAACATGAATATACTTCCCAAACATGTAAAGTGACTTCAATACATGGTCGACCAAAAAGGGTGTAAAATAAAAGCACTCTTACTGTGGTGTATTTGGCTGGCTGGCAGCTCGGACTAACTGTTGAAACATATTTCTCTCGTTTATGGGGTCCATACCTTGGAAGAAATAAGAAATATGGATCATTTCCTCTGTTCAGTAAACATATAACATCGCAACAAGAATTGGACGGCTAAAAATATTAACCAACCTTGATTTATTTCATCAACTACCCTTGATTTATTTCATCATCTACCCTAAATGAGCAGTTAGCAAGGTCTTGTAAAGAAACAAGGTAAAGTATGGTTGAAACAGAGCGTTCTCAGAAAACCAGGTGTCAAAAAGAAATTAGTAGCCATAGCTAGAAGATCATGTACAGAAAAACTCAACCACATGCCATACCCCTCCAGATTGGTGGTGAGCACTTAAAAACCTGAAGCTGTCCTGTTTACCTGGTGATCACAGTGGAAATCGAATAACAAAAATGAAATAGCACCAGAAAAAATCCACAACCGAAATGGTGAAATCCACACCACTTAAGAATTAAGATGCGCCAGAGTCCCAGACTATTCATATAGAATGAAATCTCAGTAAACTGTAAGTCTGAATGTGTCACATAACATCCACTTCCTACGTGCATGAATCTCTCCTCTCTTTTCGTATAGATGAGACGTGTATGCTACATAATTACACAAAATCAAAAACAGCAGCAAGTTTTTATGAAATGAAACACTTTTCACGCAACCAAGTAATTTGCTTGAGATAAAAAAGTACAACGAAACGAAAGATTCACCTGAACTTAACTTTTATCAAGATCCCATATTGATTGAAGTCCATGTCATGTTCATCTAGAAAAGAGGTAAAAAAACACTGATCAAATAAAGAAATATTAAAACACCTCAAAATTGATTATTTAATAGATTCAAGACAATGACCTAAAGACACCTCTCCAGCAACTGCCATTAATTGGAAATTGCCACTAAAAGTTCCATTAATTTGAGTCACAAGACTTCTCAGTGTAGGGAGCCAACTTTCCTGCAGACAAATTATAATCAGAATACACTGGTTGCCTATCAAGTGTGACAAGCGTGTTGGCATCAATAAAAACCATCATATCTTAATCTTCTATCACTAAAACCTGCCTAATGAATTGTTCAAGTGCATGATGGTTTCCACATGCCAACAAATGCATGTGTTGGGTCTTGAACCTGTGACCTGCCTAATGAATTGTGCTTCCAACAATTCTATTACTAAAGTCATGTTTTCTGGAATGACACTTTTATTATTTTGAGACAATGGCTGGATTGTTGACACTTGGCACACCACTCGCCATTGGATGAGATTCTAGAGTCTTTGACTCTTTAACTTCGATGATACGCCTCATTTGGATCATTATTGGCTTCCTTCTCTCTGGCTCTTGGTTTTCTCGCGTCTGTTTAGAGAGAATAACCTCATTCTTCTAGNATCAACTCATTCTTTAGGGTTTACATTCTGATTCTTGTAAACTGTATATTCTCAAAGTAGAACTTCTGATTAGGAGGAAGTGTTGGGTCTTTGAGTGATTGTTGTGCTGAGTCTTTTGTGATTCGAGCAGTGAATGAGTGTTTTGGCAGATCTTGTGTGATATGGGCTATTTTTATGCTTTGAGAGAAGATCGATCTAAGTCTGTGAAAAGATAAGTGTCTGTAGCCTTTTGTCTTGTAACTGTTGTTGCCATATTTTTGGCTTGTTAGCGCAACCGAGCAATATCCATTATTTGGATGCTCAACGGGGGATGTAGGCGTTAGATCCGATTGTCGAACCTCCGGAGCTTAGGCCAAAACATTTATTGTGTTCATTTTAATTTCTGCAACTTTTACTTACTGCTTTGAGTTTGATTCTTTGATATCTTGTTTAATATCGTGTGGTTTGGGCCTTTTCAAGATGCTCTAACCAGACTACATCTCATTATTGTAAAACAATCACTCAACTTAAGATTTCAATCACAAGTGACAACCTACACACCTGAATTAATATCCGAAATAAATAAAATAAATCGCAATTGAGCCTGACTTATAAAGCCCACTCCACCTAAACAAAGAAACATACCACCACAATTGGGCTTTAAACCGCACAGCCCACGCAGCCCAAACAAAGAAACAAACCACCACAATTGGACCTTAAATTTCACAGCCCACGCAGCCCACACCTATGGACCCAAAAGAAAGACACCACAGATAGCCCAAAAGGAAGACTCCACAGAGACGCGTCGATCGCACTCACAAAACGTCGGCAATTTAACTTTGATTACCCACAAGACCCAGCCACAGGTAATCAACTCCTACAGGTGAAGAGAAAATCACTGCCTGCACACGCTACAATCGAACACCACCACCTCCAAGTCGAAGACTGCAGTCTACATCAACAAAGACGTCGACCACCAATCGATCGACCAAGAAAATCCAATTCGAGAAACAAATAATAAAAAATTTGAATACTCCGAGCAAGGAATTCAAGTACCAACTACACCGAAGGCAGAATATCAAAAATTCAGCGATGGATTTTACGGGTAGGCTCTGATACCATGTAAATGTTTTTAGGCTAAATGCCATTCCCTTCTCGGATTCTTTTATTATATAGAAATCAAAATCTGTACATATATAATATGTAATTAACCTAATATGGTAATGTACAATAATGGTATGTAATCGTCCTAAATTGGTAACTAGAATCGGAATATAATCTCATTGGCAGAAAGTTATTAGTTCGACCCTAAAATCTCATAATAGGTGAATAATGCGGAATTAAACATACCAATTAAAAGCAACACGTCACTTTTTAATTGTTCTAAATGTTTAGTCAATCAAGTCAATTTTATCATATGTTGAATTGCCACAATAATAAATAGAGCAGTAAATAACACAAGATTTGATAACGCTATTTTGGAAATTGATCCATTTTTGAGACTCTGGTTCGGTCATCAAGAGTGATATCTGTTATTCTTCAATGTCATACTAGGTTGGATCTTTTGGATGATCTGAGCAACTAGGTTAAGGACGTTAGAGGTTATGGCACTGAAATGTGCTTCACTCACACCTACTCTTCATCTTCTGGAATTGTCTATCTCCTGTGGATCATCAAGAATACCTTATTCTTGTACTCTTCCTGTGCTTGCATTCCAACCTCTCTCAATCTTTAGCAACCTTTGAAAGATATTGAAAAAGTACCTTCATGATTGTGTTTAGGAAGTTGGTGTTTTGGATTATATGAATTTGATTTTTTTTCGAACTTGTGGTCGATTGATCTCAAGAATAAAAAAATTAATCTCAATATTTAGACATGTTCTTGGATCTTTGATTGATGTAATAAGGATGTAAAATAAAGAACCACCCACCAAAAACGTATTGGGCACTGGATTTTTATAATAAGAGATCTTTAGGTAGTATATGATAGATAGAACTCTTGAAAAACACAAATTACGATTTCTCGAGCATCAGGTAGGTAACAGGTTAGCGTAAATCGACGACGCTTTCTCTTTGTTCCATACTTGAACTCAAACACTCCTAGTTCATCTACACAACCCCCAAAAGACTCATTGACTTTTACAATTCTTTTATAACAATCCTGTTCTTTTATAATAATACTTTTGTCTAAAGAATTGCCAATACAACATAAATCATAACAAATTTCCTCAAGAAAAATCTTTGAGAGCAAAATATGTCTTGGAGCTAGTTCATTCCGACATTTGTGGGCCTATAAAACCGTCTTCTAATGGGGGTAAAAAAAATACCTAATTACCTTCATTGATGATCATAGTCGAAAAACTTGGGTTCAAATTTTGCCGGAGAAATCAAAAGCTTTTAGTATATTTAAAATCTTCAAGGCGCGTGTTGAAAATGAAATAGGAAAAAATT